GCTATGAAGAGGGAACTTGGAGGAGGGTTGATTGCAATCTTGTTGATGAGTCCTGGGTTTTCGCTGGTCCTCCTCCTCCTCCTCCTCCTCTTTTTCCCCGAGGCCGGTGGAAAGGGCGGGCCGGGCGTTTCGCTTTAGACCGCCTTTCCATGTATGACCCTGAAACTCAATCTTGACAAAAGTTTCACACACGGCGGGCGGGCCGATTCCCAAATGTAGCTGTCGCCTTAGCGCAGCGCGCATTCGATTTAACACACCGTGGAAGTTTAACGAATTCGGGGCAGGTCGTTTTCAAAATGTGGCTTTCGCCTTGGCGCCGCGCACATTCGTTTTAAGCATATGCGAGAGCTCGCTCCACAAATGGAGGGCGGTTCTTTTTCAAAGTGTGGCTCTCGCCACTGCGCCGCGCACATTCGTTCAAACGAACTGCAAGCATTTCATGGATTCAAGGCGGGTCCTTTTCAGAATGTTGCTCTCGCCTTGGCGCCGCGCACATTCGTCTTTAACATGTCCCAATGTTTCACTGGTCCCCATGGCTAACGCTCCAGAAACGGCGTTTTGGAACGATTCGGGATTATGAGGGCGCAGCGAATACGCTGATTAGCGGGTCTGAGTTCCCAGGAATGGTGTCCTCGCGCGATTGTGGAGCGCCAAGAAGCCGCAGCAGTCAGGTTGATTCGTGGCGTGGAAGTCCCGAGACTGCTGCTTTGGTACGCTTCAGGATCTTCAAACGGTTGTCTCCCAACGGGGCACTTCCCTCAATTCAGGTGAATCCTTCTAAGGGGTCTATGAAGAGAGAGCTTGGGGGAGGGTCGATTCCAACATGATTTGTGGGTCTTGGGTTCACACTGGTCCTCCTTCTCCCTCCTCCTCCTCCTCCTCCTCCTCTCCCCCTTCCCCCTCCTCCTCCTCCTCCTCCTCCTCCTCCTCCTCCTCCTCCTCCTCCTCCTCCTCCTCGTCCTCCTCGTCCTCCTCATCCTCCCCCCACTTTTCTCCTCCTCCCGATCACTTGCTTCCGCGCGGGCCGAGGCGAGCCCGCGGAGGATCTCTCGAGCAGCCGAGGTGCGGGACAGGGCGCGGTGGCCCTCCAGCACCTCCTCGAAGATGGACTCCGCCTCGTCCAGCCTCGGCCGGCGACTCCTCCTCCTGCTCATCGTCCTCCTGCTCCTCCTCCTCCTCCTCCTCCTCCTGGCGCCCCTCCTCCCTGCTCATCACCCCTCCTCTCTCCTCCTCCTCCTTCTCCTCCTCTCCTCCTCCTCCCTCCTCCCGTCCTCCTCTCCTCCTCCTCCCTCTCCTCCTCTCCTCTCTTCTCTCCTCCCCTCCCTCCTCCTCCTCCTCCCCTCCTCCTCCTCCTCCTCCTCCTCCTCCTCCTCCTCCTCCTCCTCCTCCTCCTCCTCCTCCTCCTCCTCCTCCTCCGCCTCGGCCCGAACCCCACTGGCGCTGAGCCCTCCCAGAGGGCCTGCTCAGTCTCAAGGGCTTGGACCGTCTTCACGTCGAGGGTGTCGCCGCTCTCGGGAGAGGAAAAGAGGGAGGGCTGAGAGGGGGGGCTGAGAGGAGGGGGAGGGAGGCAGAGGGAGGGGCCAAGAAAATCCTGCTGTCCTCATGCCCCTCGTGCACACACCCGTCGTCGTTCTCATCCTTCTTTCTTTCGCGAGCGGCGAGCGTGCCGCCTCAAGTCCATCGATCCTCGCGGGCCCCGTCTTGTTGTAGTTGATCTAGACAAACTCGGCAGAAGGCCCAGAAAGTAGCGCATGGTGTCAAAAAGAAACCGCCCTGGAGCAGCCTCGTGGCCACCCTGGGGCAGAGTCGACTGCAAAGCCCTGGCAGGGCAGCTCGCAGCCGAGGAGGAGACTGCGGCCACCGCACTCCTTGGCCCCCGCCCAGGGGGGGAGACCCCCCGATGAGGCATGCAAGGAGCACGCTTCGGCACCAGCGGGAACCATGCTGAATATAGCTGAATATAAGCCGGATTTGGGCGAGCGCCTGGACCCCCTTCCCAGCCGTGACCCTGCGCGAGCCGCCTCGGCGGACAGCAACGCCGGACTCCGCAAACATTTATGCCCAGGCTCCCCCCCCAGAAGGGAGCCAGCAATCAGGCGTCGTAGAACACCCCAGAACGTCCATTGATTTTTGGTGTGGGAGCGTCACGCTTCCCATCGCAAAACCATCGAGACCCAAGACACCCAGGGCACCCTGGAGGCAAGCAGGGTTCATCCTGGCATGGGCCTCCACTGCACTCCCCCCCTCTCCCCCAAACTCAAAGTTGGCACGCGCGGAGGAGGTCCGCGGCCGAAGTGCAACTCATCAGACCCACCGCCAACTTAGAACACTGGGGGGGGGAGGCGTTGACCGATGAGCGTGGCACGAGTGTTCGCTGCTTTTTCCGAAGCAGGACCCTGACCTGGAACTGCAGCCACATGTCTGAAGCCCCGTGTTCGGCGAAAGCTCGCTCGCAGCGTGCCGGAATCGACCTTCCATGGAGCCGTTGCTGTGGCGCACGTGCTCCACCAGTTCAGCCAGCGCGGTGTGGCAGTCAATCGCTGCTGCCAGGCTCGACGTTTGCTTCGTGCGCACAGACAGTGACTTGACGCACGCTTGGGCATAATGTGCTGACCGATGCAAAAAAGGAGTTGACCACACCAGAGCCGGACTTCCAGAGAGCGACTCACAGGCGGAATGACCAATCCCTGCAGCACGCCCGCCCCCGGCCAGCAGCCCCCTCCGCGCCGCTCCTGGAAGCGGCGGCTGACCGACAAGATCGTGGGAAGAGGCTCCTCCGGAACGCCCGCCGCACAGTGGGAAGGCGAAACTCCATCCCAGCCCCCAGTCCCGACCCCATCCCCGAGCCCGCGATCCAGGGGGTCGGGGCTGGGGGTGGGGGCGGTCCTTCGGGGTCCAGGGATGGAGAAGACGCCCCCGCCCCCAGGCCCGACCCCTTGAATCGCCGGTTCGGGGATGGGAACCGGGACTGGGGGTGGGGGCGGGCTCTCGCCTTCTGAACAACAACAACAACCGGCATTCATAGGCTTCGCCCGAGGAGCTCTTGCTCTCACCACCGTCCGTGCTGGACGAGCACACGGCCGTGGCCACGACAACGGAACAGGCCGACCCTGCTCCGCCCATCGCCTGCTGGGCGATCAAGCAGCTCTCTGGCTCGGACCGCTGCGCCTGCGAGAGCCCGGCCTGCACCACCTCCTTGCGCCCAGCGTGGTCGAGCTGCCCGGGCAGCAACAGACAAGCGCGTTCCACTACTCGCGAAGCACCTGCTCGCAAATGGCCTGGATCCAGCATGGGGGATCTGCGATACATTATATCGAGGCAGACAAGTGCGTTTCGGAAGTTTGCGAGCAGGCACTTTGCGAGAAGCGGAACGCGCTCTGAGAAGCAAGAACCACGACCTGCCCCAGAGCAGCTTCTATTGAGCAGGGACCGTCCGCCCGGGCATTCCTATAGGCCTACCACGACATGTTCTTAGAACCCAAGAATGTTCTGATAACAAAAACGATGTCCTTAGAACATAAGCCCGATGTGCTGAATCAAGGCAGTCCCAGCCAGATGTGCTCCAATAGCATTTCGTGCAGACCACATAAGGTTCTTAGAACATTCTTTGGTGGGCCTATAGGCGAGCCAGGACGCTTCGCCACTGCTTGATTCTAGGAAGGCAGCGCCGGCAACTCGCACGCGCTGGGCCCTGGCCGCAGCACCGCCGGGGAAGGCCGCGCGCGCGGCGGCCCCAGGCCGAATCGCTGCCCGCCGAGCGCGGCGCAGCGCAGGGCCCCGCGTCGCACACGCCCCGGCCGGGGCCGCGGCGCCGCCAGGGCGAGGCGGCCGCTCGGCCCTGCGCGGGGAGGGCTGGGCCGCCGGGGCTGCCCGCCGAGAGCCCGGCGCGGCGCCCCGCCGCAGCGCCTGCGCCGTGGGCAGCTGCGCCCGCGCCGCGGGCCCCACGCACGCGGGCCTTGCCGGGCTGCGAGGCGGCCGCGCCGCCCGCGGGCGCGCCGGGCTCCTCGCCCAGCCTGCGGGCGGGCCAGGCTCCTCTCGGCCCAGCGGCTGGGACCCACCCGCAGGCCTGCGCGCGTGGGCAAGGCGCGTGAGGCCGCGGCCCCTCGAAGCACGAGGGCGCCTGCAAGGCGATAGGCCCGGGCAAAGAGGACCGCCCGCCAGTGCGAGCGTGTCCGAGCGGGGGCGGGCAGAGCGCCGAGCCCACCCGCGCCTGCGAGGTCCTCCGGTGCGCCGTCCAGGCGCAGCTGGCCCTGCAGCGCCAGGGAGCTGCCAGCATGCCCTGGGCGGGCCATCCTTGTCGCCCCTGTCCCTCCTCCTCCTCATTCCCCTCCTCCTCCTCCTCCTCCTCCTCCTCCTCCTCCTCCTCCTCCTCCTCCTCCCTTCCTTCTCCTGCCTATCTTGTGCCTGCGAGGAGAGATGAGGGTGCCACGCTTCTCACCTGAACTATAACTAACCCCCGAGGACACCCCCGGAGGCGTAAGACCCTCGCGAGGGTACCTGCTGAAGGGGCGTCCTGACTTGCGGTGTTGTCCCAGGGGAGGACTCGGCTGGGTCGCGAGTGAGGAGGGAGCAAGGTCGTAGTTGCACTGAGCCTTGACCTGATGAGATGGACTTACCAAAGAGGCAGGACGGGGGGAAGGAAGAGGAAGTAGGGAGAGGGAAAGACGGATGTGAGAAAGATGCGACATGCGGGAGTAGGGGAGGGCGGGAGGGAGGATGATGATGAAGCCGTTGTGGAGCCGAGCTAGAGGAAGAAGAAGACGAGGGGGATGCTAATGGGCACTGCGATTCGCATCAGCAGCGGTGGCGGCGTACGCAAGAAGTAACAGCAGTAGTTGCTGCATCAGTGGCAGCATCAGCAGCATATGCACCAGGGCAGGTCGCACAAGAGCAATCCAGAGGTAACGAGAGACAACACGAGCACGCGGACTTGAAGGAGGAGGAGGCCAACGTACGTACGTAAGGCGTGCGACGTCGAGGTCACCTGGATGCAAGCGTTTGTTTCGCCACCGATCGTCGGACACATCGTTGGCCGCGTGTGCGGCCTGCCCCTAGCCGTAGGTCGGGCGTGTTTTCCTACAGGCGGATTTTGGGCGAGCAAATTAAACATTGTAAGACAATACAAACACAATAATCCCAACATGCTTCTAAAATCGTCCCCTGACTATTTTTTTAACTATTTTTTGAATATGCCTCCTGTAGAGGGACAGGCCCGACTTAACCCTAGCCCCGCACCTGGGGAGACCTCACTGCATCGCGAGACCGCCCGTCGAGAGCGCACAGCTCTGTCCAGAGCGCGTACCCGGTGACGCCGCCGAGCGGAATGACATCTTCTGCGCTGGGCACCTTCGCCAAGCGAACTAACACATGGTTGCGTTTGACCCTGAAGGACGACTTCGCTGGGTCAATGTCGTGCTGCAGGCATGCCCGCCGCAGCCGGTACCTTTGAAGGGAGGAAGACGAGGAGGACCATGTGTGCACCCAAGATCCATCAACGATGTTGTAATATGTAAACCCTCCCTCCGTCCAAATTCCCTCTTCACAGGTCACTACAAGAGCTTCTTTTCACTGAGGATAATACCCCGTTCGAAGAAAATCGTCTGAGTATCCTGAACCGTGCCAAAACACAAATCCTGGGACTTCGACGCCGTGAATTAACGTTACTGTTGCGTCCGGACGATCCTGAATCGTGCCAGAACGCCATTCCTGGGACGTCAACACAGCGAATTAACGTGACTGCTGCGCCCTGCCATTCCTACATCGTGCCAAAACACCGTCTCTGGGACGTCTGGAAGCTCTTAAAACGAAGGTGCGCGGCGCTAAAACGAGAACCACATTTTGAAAAGGAGCCACCCTCCATCCATGAAGCTCATACAAACCTTGCACACGAATGTGTACAGAATTAACGCGAGAACTACATTTTGAAACGGAACCACCCTCCATCCGTGACAGTTCTGCGAAGTTTTAAAACGAATGTGCAAGGCGTTCAGGCGAGAACCACATGTTGAAAACAGTCCGCCCTCCATCTGCGAAGTTCTTGCAAACTTTTCAAAACGAATGTGCGCAGCGCTCAAGCGAGAGCTACATTTGGAAAACAACCCGCCTCATCTCTGAAACTGTGGCACTGAATTCAATGATCATGAATGGTGAAGAAGTCTCAGGCGACACGCCCGGTCAGCCCCATCGACACGTCCCGGGGTGCGACAGGAAGGATTTTTCAAGGAAAAGGGATGGAGGAGGAGGAGGAGGAGGAGGAGGGGGAGGAGGAGGGGGAGGAGGAGGAGGAGGAGGACGAGAAGGACGATGAGGACGACGACCAGGAGGACGATGACGACGAGGAGGACGAGGAGGACGAGGAGGGGCGTCGCCCCTCCCGTTCTGCACAGCTGCTGACGCTTCGGGCTTTGGGGCCGCATCATCCCGTGGGCGGAGGGCATCTGGAGTCCCGAAGGATGTTCTGGATTCCGACGGCGACCCCCAACCTGCGGCTGAACCAATCAGGGGAACGAACAATGACATAAACATAAAATATCGGAGGTCCGCGCGGATCCAAGAAATCCGCGAGGACCTCAGAGTTCTTACGTTTATGTCATTCTTCACTTCCCCAGGCAAGGACCTTCGCCCATCGAGAGAGTGCGTCACGCGGAGGTCGAAGGACTCGCGTCCGAACTCGCACGTCACTGCCCCTGGCGGCAGCCTCTCAACCTCAGAGTTCTCAAACCGGTCTGGCGACCATGCCGTCCAGTGAGTCGGAGGGGTCTGGGGTCCCGGGTCGTTCTCCGAGGATGTCTCCAGCGCCTGGGGCCTCCAATTGAAAAAGGAAAAACGCCATAAACACAAACTTTTGGCGCTCAGCGCGGAGCGCCAAAAGTTTATGCTTACGTGGTTCCTTCTTCTTCGATCCAAAATCCAAACACTGCTCCGCGACAGACCGTCCAGGGCGGCCCTTGGGACTTCGAGCTCATAATAAGACCACCTGACACCAAACGGGCAAACTCCTGCACCACCCGCGCGACCAGGGTGCCGGCGCAGACTTCAACGCGCCCTCCCCTGCCCTCGATTCTATGTGATTTGGCATCGCCAGCGGGGCGCAAGATTTCGGCCAGCCGACAGCTCGACACACCGCTGCGCAGCCCGCCAACATGCCGTTGAGGGCGCGGGGGGAGGGGGTCACACCCAAGTCAGCACAGACGGCGCAGGATTTGTCCATCAGCTGTCCCTCCTCAACCTTCTTCCTCCCTCCCGTCTTCCTCGTCCTCCTCTTCCTCCTGCGCCAGGTTAGTGGTGGTTTCGGGGCGGGGGGTGGAGCAGGGGGGGCATCGACCCCAAATGGCCCATCCGTGGCCCATCGCGCCAGGAATATGAAGTCTTCGCGCTAGCCGGCAGCCAGCTGTACTCCCTCCTCGTCCTGCTCAATCCTTCCCGTCTTTCCTTGTCCTCCTCTCCCTCCTGCGCCAGTCAGGGGCGGTCGATTGTGAGTCTGCAGGTCGGACGGATTTGGGGACCCCTGACGACCGCCTCCAGCTGCACGTCGACGCCGACGAAGGGGGCTCTGGCCTTAGAGGCTGTTTATAAACGCTGGGGCGTTCTTTCAGTTTTCGACATTGGCGTGCTTTTTCCTCGTCGTGGGGCTCGTTTTTCTCCGTTTTAGGATTCTCGTTCGTGCCGTTGTCGCTTCGGTTCCGATTTGTACCGCGCCGTTTTCTGCCCTGCTTTGGGCTGCCACTTCTTGGCAGATTTGTTGGCAGGAAACCGAAAATCGAAGCACGGAAAACAAATCGCCTCCAATGTTGTAACATCAACCGCGGTCGGGAACTCCTGCGTAGCGCGTCGCCGCGGCGGCCCTGGCGACACGCGGTGCCCTGCGAGCGGACCAAGCGTGACACTCCGCCCCGCGGACGGGAAGGCTCGGACAAACTCGGGACGTTGACGCCTGGGGACGGGAAAACGGATAGCGTGCCAGGCCGAAGCGTGGTGGGCCAAAACCATCGGCGCGACGCGCCATCCAACAGTTACCGACCGCCGTATACAATTGTATGATCCTTTGATTTCGGGCCATGCAAGTGTCGGAAACAGTTCAGCAACCCTGATACAAAACATACGGTTTGAACTCCCCCCTTCCCCCCAAATGCAATGTCGGTTTCGGATCCTCCGATTTGGGGCCTCCGAGTGGTCCTCAAGGAACGTGAGCGTGCCAAATTTGAGTTGCAAGGGAGGGGGGGAATGTTGCTTAATTTTTTCCCTCAACCGTAACTCGGGCTTCTAGTGGCCGTTCGGAACTATCCGGGCACCCCCCAGAACGCTCTCGACGAGGCAGCTGCTGAAGGCATCCCGCGGCTGAGACACCGCCGAGAACCAACGAAAACGCCCGAGGACCTCGAACCTCGGGCCTATCCCAAAGTTCCCGACCGTACGTCAACGGATGATGAGGAGGAGGAGGAGGAGGAGGAGGAGGAGGAGGCGAAGGAGGAGGAGGGAGGAGGAGGGGAGGAGGAGGAGGAGAGGAGGAGGAGAGAGGAGAAAGGAGGAGGAGGAGGAGGAGGAGGAGGAGGAGGAGGAGAAAGAGGAGGAGGAGGAGGAGAAAGAGGAGGAGGAGGAGGGAGGAGGAGGGAGGAACTCCAGGCTCTCAGGGGCAGCATCAGCCAAGCCCCTGGCATCCCCGAGGTCCAGCGCGAAGCGCCCCACCTCCAGCCAGGGCGCCTCTGCCACGCCCCCGGCGGGCACGGCGGCCAGCGCCTGAGGGGCGCACGGCGGCTGCCCGGCGCGGGCCGCGCCCGGGAGGCTCAGCTCGCGCGCCACGAGGGAGGCGAGGGGCCCAAAGAGGAGCAACCCAGAGATCCAACGCTCCAACAAAAATGGGGGCGGCGGGGCTGGGGCAGTCTCTGGCCTCCAGGGGCCCTCGCCGGTCCTCGAGAGCGTCAAAGAACGACACAGGCCCTACAGGGAAGTGGTCTGGACCTCCAGGGCCCACGCATCGAAAAAATAAGAGCAGCCGGATGTCTGGGAAGGATCCCTCAGATTTGGGCGTCGCTCTTTCTCTTTTTGCCCAGCGCGCGTTTCCGTTCGATTTCGGGCCATGGGTCGGTCTCTCACAGGTCGATCCGGCTCGGAAAAGAACGTCGATAGATGGGGTCCAGGGCTCTGGTGGGACTGCATGTGATGTTGTATGCTTGTTCGCAACATCGGATCTCAGGGAAAAGTGATACCAACACCACCAGGGACCACCAGCGGGAGGAGCCAGAGGGGGTCCCTCCCCTCTCGCTCGAGACATCCCCTGTCCGCAGCTCGGGGAGGCATCGTGGACCTCATCGCTGGAGGTGGCCCGTGGTGGTGTCGATTCTCCTTCGAAGACGAAGCCAGGACGAGGGTCAATTCGGGTGAGGATAATTCGAGAATCCCTGAGATTTAGCGGCTCTGGAAGATGTCTCGGGCGCCGCGGCCTTCTCAGAGCGTTCCGGAACGCTCTGAGAGCGTTCTGGAACGCTCTGGACCGGATTTATGCTCGTCCTAGCCCCGTCCGACCTTCCCCCGATCCCAAGGACAGGGGATCTGGGACCCCTGGGGGCTTCCCTAAAGCCATGCACCCTGACCCCGGATCCGCCGCACTATGGCAGATTTTCCGACTTCAAAGCAGTGTCGGAGATGCGCCTCAGATGATGCGAATAAGTGGGACGGAAGCCTCCGCCTCAGAAAAACAGGGCGGCTACCTCCGCAGAGGCTGGGCGGACACCGCGTCGGCAAAGTAGGGCGGAAATCGGCACCGAAGGAGCTTGAAAAGTAGAGGGCGGATCCGGAGTCAGGATTCCCTGGGGTCAGCGACGCGCGAGTGCCACCAGGCTTCCCCGAAGCTGGGCTCCAAGGGATGCCCCAGGGTCCAAGGGCCCCCTTCTCCCCGGGCCCCCCTCTCACTCGTGCGCAGCTTGTGCAGGTGGAGCTGCCGCAGAGCCAGGCGGTCCTCGTCGTCCAGCTCCAGGGGGTCCTCCCTCAGCCGCGCGAGCTCATTGTCCATCTCTACGAGGAAGTCGCTCAGCCTCGCCCTCACCGCAGGTCTGTCGCACCTCTAGAAGAGAAAAGACGCCATAAACATAAACTTGTGGCGTTCTGCGCGGATTCCTTGGGTCTGTGCTGGACCCCCTTTCCCTGGCGTGCGGGGCGCGCCAGGGCGCCGCCAGGGGGTCCCAGCGCGGATCCAAGAAGTCCGCGCGGAGCGCCAAAAGTTTACGCTTATGTCGTTTCCTCTCCTTCGAACCTCTGCATCAGCAGGGACATCTCGCGGCGGTCGCCCTCCAGGAGCCGCACCCGCTCCTGCACTTCTTGATCGGGCGCCGCCCCCGCGCCCCGCGGCGGCCTCCCCCCCGCGGCCTCCTCGAGCGGGCGCGCCCGCGCTGCTCTCGACGACGCGCAGGGGTGACCCTGGGCAAGAGCGACCCCTGGTGCGCGGCTTTTTTTCAACAGCCAGTTCTCGCTGGCTTTGTTGGGTTTGTTTGACAAGGCGGCCTGGCCTAGGGCCAGAGCAGTAACCTGTCAGCAGGCACAACTTACGTCCACGTCGCAAGCCGCTGCTGATCCAAAATGTGGCGACATGCTTTACAGTGGGGGCCAGTTCACAAGAAACCTTCCACAAGAAACCCAACCCTCAGACCCCAGGACGTCCATCGATTTTTGGTGTGGGAGCGTCACGCTCTCCATAGCAGAACCATCGAAATCCAAGAAACCCAGGGCATCCTGGAGGCAAGCAGGGTGTTTCTTGACATGGGTCTCCACTGTATGGCGGCGAACCTGCACACACAGGCGGGCCTCGAACTTTGGTGCGCGGCTGTTTAGGGGGCCGCGGGGGGGACCAGACAGAAGCGCGCAAGACACTGCCGCCGCATCGCGTTCGGCGATCGGGGGACCCCTTGGGACCGCACCAGAAAGCTACTCCGGCGAAAGGCCACTCTTGCGCGTAGTCGATCCCTGAGATCCGACGTTGCACGAAACATGCAACATCGCAAACAATCACGCCCAGACCCCCGGACCCCATCGGTCTGCGTCGCTTTTCGAGCCGGATCGATCTGTGAGGGCCCCGGGGCCCGCAATCGAGCGAAAACGCCCGTTGTGAAAAAATTGCAACGACAGGATCGCAGGGGATGATCACCCTCCTCCCTCGCCCTCTGCCCCTCGGCCCTGCCCCCGCCCACCCCCGCCACGGGGCGGAGAGGGAGGAGGAGGAGGACGACCAGTGTAAACCCAAGAGTTACCAACGACGTTAGAATAAACCATCCATCCCTCTTTATAGGCCGCTACAACGGTTTATTTCCACAGAGGGGCCTGCCTCGTTGGAACAACCGTTTGAAGGCCCTGAAGCATGCCAAAACATTATTCTCGGTATTCCAACGCCACGGATGAAGCTAGCTGTTGCGTCTTGACTATCCTGAATCGTGCCAGAACGCCGTTCCTGGGACCTCAACTCCGCGAATCATCATAACTGTTGCGCCCTCAAATTTGTGAATCCTTCCAAAACATCATTTCTGGTACGTCGACCATGGGAAACCTGTAAACTCTTTGCAACTGTTTAACAACAATGTGCGCGGCGCTACGGCGAGAACCACATTTTGAAAAGGAACCGCACTCAATCCGTCGAACTCTTGCACATGTTTAAGACGAATGTGCGCGGCGCTCAGGCGAGAGCCACATATTGAAAACCACCCGCCCTCAACCCGTGAAACTCTTGCAAGTGTTTAGAACGAATCAGAGCGGCGCTGAAGCGAAAACCACATTTTGAAAACGACCCGCCCTCAATCCGCGAATCCCTTGCACATGTGAAACAAGAATGCGCGCGGCGCTAAGGCGAGAACCACATGTTGAAAACGACTCGCCCTCAACCCGTAAAACTCTTACAAATGTTTAAAACGAATGTGCGCGGCGCTAGGGCGAGAACCACATTTTGAAAACCACACGTCCTCAACCCGTGAAGCTAATGCATGGTTTGAAAACACATGTGCGCGGCGCTCAGGCGAGAACCACATGTTGACAACCACCCGCCCTCAATCCGCGAAGCTCTTGCAAATGTTGGAAACGAATGTGCGCGGCGCTAAGGCGAGAGCCACTTTTTCGAAAACGTGCCGCTCTCCATCTGTGAAGCTGTTGCCAATGTTTAAGCTTCGGCGTTATACACGGTGAGGAAGTCTCAGGCGAAACGCCTGGCCCGCCCTAAAGACAAGCCTCGGGGTGCGCCAGGGAGAAGTTAGTTATAAGAAGAGGATATGGGGGACGAGGAGAACGACGAAAAGGAGGAGGAGGAGGACGAATAGAAGAGGGAGGAGGAGGAGAACGAGGAGAAAGAGGAAGAGGCGGAGGAGCAGGAGGGGGAGGGGGAGGAGGAGGAGAAAGAGGAGGCGAAACAGGACAAGGAGGAGGCGGAGAAGGAGGAGGAGGAGGAGGAGGAGGAGGGAGAAGTGAGGAGGAAAAGGAGTTGGAAAGGGAGGAGCGGCAGAGGAGGGGAGAGGAGAGAGGAGGAGGAGGAGGAGGAGGAGGAGGAGGAGGAGGAGGAGAAGGGGAGGAGGAGGAGGAGGAGGAAGGGAGGAGGAGGAGGAGGAGGAGGAGGAGGAGAGGGAGGAGTAGGAGAGGAGGAGGAGGAGGAGGAGGAGAGGAGGAGGAGGAGGAGGAGAGGAGGGGGGAGAGGAGGAGGAGGAGGAGAGGAGAAGGGGAGAAGGAGGAGGGGGTAGAAGGGAGGAGGAGGAGGAAGAGGAGGAGGAGGAGGAGGAGGAGGAGGAGGAGAAGGCGAACGAGGAAAGGGATGAGGATGTGGAGGGGAGGAAGAGGAAAAGGAGGAGGAGGAGGAGGCGACAGAGGAAAATGGAGGAGGAGGAGGAGGAGGAGGAGGAGAAAGCGGAAAGAAGGACGAAGAGAGGAGGAGAGAGGAAGAGAGAGGGAGGAGGAGGAGGAGGAGGAGGAGGAGGAGGAGGAGGATAAGAAAACAAGGAAGAGGAGGAGGAGGAGGAGGAGGAGGAGGAGAAGGAGGGATAATAAGGAGGAGGAAGAGGAGGACGAGGAGGACGAGGAGTTGGAGGAGGAGGAGGTGGAGGAGGAGGAGGAGGAGAAGGAGGAGGGATAGGCGAGGGGGAGGAGGAGGACGAGGAGAAAGAGGTGGAGGATGAGGAGGAGGAGAAGGAGGAGAAGGAGGTGGAGGAGGAGGAGGCGGAGGAGGAGGAGAAGGAGGAGGAAGAGGAGGAGGAGGAACATGCAATCCAATGAGCATGCAATCCAATGAACAGGATGCTCAGACACTTCAAGAACAAACCTCCACTGGGGCAGGACGAGGCAATGGCAAGCAGAACAGAGAAGAGGACGACCTGCGCCCGCAATGCTAACTACCTTCTCGCTCCTCCCACTTGGCTTTCGTAGCAACAACTTGTATGCTGATGGTGATGATGATGATGCTGCTGATGATGATGAGGAGGAGGAGGAGGTGGAGGAGGAGGAGAAGGAGGAGGAGGAGGAGGAGGAGGAGGAGG